GACACATCGTTGACTGGACCACATATCTTTGACACATCGTTCGCTGGACCACATATCATTGACACATCGTTCGCTGGACCACACAGAAGTGACACATCGTTCGCTGGACCACACAGAAGTGACACATTGTTCGCTGGACCACACAGAAGTGACACATCGTTCACTGGACCACACATCATTGACACATCGTTCGCTGGACCACACAGAAGTGACACATCGTTCGCTGGACCACACAGAAGTGACACATCGTTCGCTGGACCACACATCATTTTTTTTAATCGCAACGCTGAACGTCTGACGTGGAATACGATAACAATAATTATGTATATTAAAGTCTACGTTCCTACACATGTGATATTTTTTATAGCTTTCATCTTCAGCTGGAACTTTTGCTGCTGCTGTTTCTTCTTCTTCTTCTTCTTCTTCTTCTTCTTCTTCTTCTTCTTCTTCTTCTTCTTCTTCTTCTTCTTCTTTTTTTCTTCTTCTTTTTCTTCTTCTATTTTTTTTTCTCTTTTTTTTTATCCTTCTTCTCCTCCTCTTTCTCCTCCTCCGTCTTCTTCTTCACCAACTGCAAACACTGGCGGAAAGTTCTAGTTGTTGATCGACTTCCGGAATTAAGTGTTTTTCCCGAGCCAGAGTGTTGCGTGCGCATGCCTGTCTTGTCTGTATGCAGATTGTTTTTTCGCAGTCTCTTAAGCAGCAACCATCTAAAGTCACATACACAGATCCACTCTACCTCTGGTTTGCCTTATTTGCGGCCTATTATCAACAAAAAAAAAAAAAAAACACTATTGAAAGAATTCAGTTGGGCATGTTTACAGTAACAGAGTGACACGAACTTTTAAAACATCAAATTGCACAAGTTTTAGAATTCGAGCGAAAAACTGCGTTTCACTCTCGTGTGGCCAATCTACTCAATTAGCCTTCTGTGAATTAGATCTTCTTCTTCTTTTTCTTCTCTTCCTCTTCCACCTCATCAAAGTGTCGGGGGGAGATGTGATGCTCGTTGTTGAGCTCTGTCAAGATCACTATTAAGATTGATGTTCATTTCTGTAAAGCTGTTCTTAATGCCATCAGTCCATGTTTTCCGAGGTCTTCCTCTCGCTCTATACCCATTGTAACGTTTTAGTGTGGCTCGCAGTGGCAGATAGTACCAGGGCATTTTTGTTAGGTGTCCAAACCACTTCATTTGTTGTTCTTTGATGACCTGTAAGACTGGCTTTATTCCTAGCATTCGTCTGATTTTCGTATGCTGTCTATCCTTGAAATTCCTGCAGCTCTTCTTAGGCATTTCATCTCTGTGATTAAGATGAACATAATATTTCATTGTATGGGATGTAGACTATTAAAAAAGTCACCACGCATCACTGCACATGTTTTGTGATTTTCCCAGCTATCTCTAGGGTTATGGTTGAAAGTAAACGATGTGTGTTCACTATTTTATACTCTCTGTTTTTCCAAGGGTATACACATGTTTTCTCCAACAAAGATATCAGAAAACAGTAGCGCAACTGTAAATTATGAAATCATAAAGATGTGGAATTTTAGGACCACATGAAAACATTCGTGTTGACCCACACCGGAATTTTCGAGATATTCAAGTTTGGGGGCAAGACTTCTTGACGGACTGAAACAGAAAGTACCCTTTTCAATAATTTGGCACGTCTAGCATAGAGTGTAAACCTATATTGTTATAGATATCAGCATTCGATAGGTTGTCTGATCGATATTATACCGTCTTTAATTCCCAAAACATGACACAGTACCCACTCAAGGTTAAGGTGACATGGAAGCCTTGGTCAACTTTCAACAAAAGAAATCATACCTCGAAGCAGAATTTGTTAGCCTTAGACCTTCGGGTCAGTAACAGCGCCTAGGGTCAAGGGCTTTTCAACTGACGACACGCGTGCCAAATGTGGCCCGTGAAGACATAACAAGTGGCCAGCGGATAACTGTCAATAGTATTGTTTTAAAAAGCTCTATATGCTTGAGCTGTGGCTTCCGGCCAGTGACGATCCCCACTTTCAAAATTAAGGCCCCTAGGTAAACTTAGTTGAACAGCCCTGCTCTACCTAACGCCGTATCTCAACAAAGCAATAGAAGGTCCCTTTTCCACGTCTTAAGGCATATTTGAACTATAGGGCTAGATCTTTTTTTTAAAAACTAATCAGCACTTGGTGTGATGTGGTCAGCGTCACGCCGGCCGCCTTTACTTCCCATAACTGCACCTGTTTCCCATCCAGGAGCGACCTGGAAGTCAAGTCATTTAAAAAAAAAAAAGTAGGCTCCTACAGGACGCGAACCCACGATGCAGGCGGGCGTTTCTCAATACATCAGGTAAGGGTTAATAATTGATGCCTACAAGATCACACGTTCTACTAATCACATTAACGATATACAGCTTCGTGATTTCTTACAATGGGGTTAACGGCACGTCGTATAGATTGTCTTGTTGTTGCTATCGATTCCTCAAAGGCGGAGCTATTTTCTGTTCAACCCACTCATCATTCTTATCATCATCTTTATCATCATCCCATTTTATTTCTAACTGTCGTCATCACCATCATTATGTTTCAGGGCGATAAGCTTATTCGGTCATATTTCCTTTTAAACAGGCATTAGGTCAATCTTTTTGTCCAAAGCTTTACAACCAATCCATGTAACTAAGATGTAAATTATTACTCTTTACTTCCCACATGCCCTTCTGTCGTTAGTTTAGGAATCTTCTTGGCATTTATGAGGAAGGTAGTTTGCCGCTGCTTTCTTTCTTGGTAATGACACAACTCGGTGTCAGTTGTCTTTGACAATGAGGTCACTTGAGAAGATCAGATCTGGCAAACTCCAACTGGAATATGGTGACATCATCAAGAACAGAGCTTAATTCAACCGTGCTACATTTGATATAACCAAGCCATGTAACTAAGATGTAAATTATCACGTCTTTACTTCCCACATGCCCTTCTGTCGTTAGTTTTGGAATCTTCTTGGCATTTATGAGGAAGGTAGTTTGCCGCTGCTTTCTTTCTCGGTATTAATAAAACTCGGTGTCAGTTGTCTTTGACAGTGAGGTCGCTTAAGAAGATCAGATCTGGCAAACTTCAAGTTGAATAGGTTGACATCATCAAGAACAGAGCTTAATTCAACCGTGCTACATTTGATATAGCCTCAACCCCATCAGTACGGCCCGACGAGCGATTACCACAATTCGGATGAGAATCCCCCGAGGCACAAGTCCCAGACCACGTTCAACCGTTAGATTATATGAAATCCCAGACGACAGACGAGACTTTATAATTACAAAAATGTGTGTCCCTTACTGCGAATGTTTAAACTGCCTTGTTTTAAAAAAAATGTGCAATGAGTTTACTGAATATTTCTTTGTTTTCACCTGAAAATTATGTGGTATGCACTAACAAATATAACAGAAAGACGATTGTGATATATTGGGTGCACTCGGTGAGGAAGCCGGAAAAAAACACCCACAAGAACGCATGCACAGCAATCAGAAACGGAAACACAAAGGAACAAAAACGTACTAAAGAAATCATGCAACGAGCGCTGACATGAGAAGCTAGAAGTTCTAGCTGATTCCATTTTCAGTATCCAAAGGATTATACAGGACAGAAACATAATTCAGTTATAGACTTGGAGTCCAGTATCACACGAGAGGTCAACAGACCGCCGACAATGCGATTACGACGATGATGATGGTGATATTTGTGATGATTAGATTAGTTCACATATATTTTCATTTATACACGTTGTGACAAAAGACTGGAAACTTCGATTTGGTCTTCTTTTGTTCAGCTGTACTAAAGGACATCTATCTTTATCGATTATTTGGCTTTTGTGTCGGCCCAGAGATTCCTAATCAAATGTTACAAAAATATCCTGTTTCGGAATGTTTTATCTTCTGACAAATATATAAAGTAAAGAGAGAGAAAGGCGCCGATTTTTATCGTAAGTTTCCAATACTAGAAAATAAAGCACAAGAACGAACTATGTACTGTATCTCATATATTTTTCTCTTCTTATTTTGCTTTCGCTGGCTGTAAACTGCAGCGGAAAGTTCTGGTAGTTCGTCCACCTATGAACTTTAATCTTTCACCAGAATCAAAGAGTGGACTAATTAGGGATGTTTCTTTCGAAGTGGGAGCGTCTAAGAGGCGAGAGAGACCAACAGTCTGCTTACAAGTAAGCCGGATTTATAAAACGGATGTGTACGCAACACTAGGGTTCTGGAATAAGACCAAAGTCCAGAAATGGACAAAGAACTAAAACTTTCGGCCCCAGTTTACAGCTGATGAACTCGAAAAAGAAGCGAAAGAATCTAATTTTTAGCAACACAATTATGTCTCGATGCGGGTTCGAACTCAGAATTCAAGTGCCCACAAAGATTTGATGCATTTGATGTGATAAAAATCAGTTTTGGCACAACCACTGAGAAAAAGACACACTTCATGCAGGCGATTGCAATATCATAATTCACGACCAGCTTTCTACAATCAAACATGCACACACACACAAAAAGGTTCTCTGTCAATGAATGACAAAATCGTTAGTGCTAGAAAAGGCTTGTGTCAGGAATATTCAGAGGTGGGGGAGTGGGGGAGAAAGAAGAAGATGAGGATAACAATAATAACAACAACAATAACAACACGCTGATAACTTGAGTAAAAATGAGGAAGAGGATAATTATGGTGACGATCACCATAGTAACTACGATAACTATAATAAGGACACACAAAAAAGTTGATGATGATGACGATAGTAATGAATACAATAATAATAATGATAGTATTGACTTAAAACTATTCCCAAACAATAACATAATGTTATCAGGCATTATCTACCACACGGACACAAAACATAAATGAACAATCGAACTTACTACCAAAGTCTTGGCCCACTTCCTTCAGCAAGAGCTCTTCTGGGCTGTGGGCGCCGGGCAGAAATATATGAAAGTCATGACCCATTCGCTTTTCCTTTGTGGTATTAACCAGAGACGCCGCTGCCAGATAGCAGAACCGAGGCATCACATTAGACATGGCTTCTCCGTCGTAAATAACTTTGATTTTTGACCATTTAAATTCGCCCATCATAATGGCGACTAGGGACTGTGTGAGAGAGTTAAAAGTGACGCCTATTCTGGTCAGCAATGGGAATTCACCATCTGGACCCTGCTTGCTGACCATGTCATGGGCAAAGCCTCCCGGAGAGATGACCGGAATGTTCCAGACGGGTGCGTATCTTGCAACAGGTGCAAGACTGTAGTCACAAACAGGTCCGATGAAAACTGACACCTGTGTTAAATATAAGAAACGCATTTGTAGCACATTAACGTACCCATGCAATTTTGTATTATAGTGTCACTATCTGGAGACCTGCGAACTGGCGTTTGCGATTATCTTTCATCATTTGCCGCTGGCGGGTATGGAGAAAAATGTATATTTGTCAATGTGCTTACAGCTGGCAAGTTGCAATATGCTGAGTCTTTAGAACAGTGACTGTCAACCTTCCCAATGCCGCGACCCTTTAATACAGTTCCCTCGCGTTGTGGCGAACTCCTAAACAATTATTTGCCTTCAAAACTTCAATGAACATGTATTTTCTGATGGTCCTAGTGAAAGGGTCGTTCGACCCCAAAAAGGATCGCGACCGACAGGTTGAGAACCGCTGCCTTAAAATGATCTCTCGTTACTTTTCTTGTTTTTTTTTTTTTAATCTTTTACCACAGGTTACCATATACCCATTTTTTTCCACTGTCGTAAGCTAAATCCATATTATCAACTTTGATCAATATTTCACTAGCATTTTATTTTTTCGGTTCTCTTTTATTTCGCCAAGCATTAGTTTCCACTAATTCTTACACTTTAGCTAAACGCAATAATGTAATAATTTCCGTTAGTTGTCTTACTTTGTTACAAATAAGCACAGTGGAAATTAAACAAGCTACTTATACTCTAAGCACAATTGCCTGGTTTAATAGTTTTTTTCCCCCAGTTCTTTAGACCCAATGATTTATTAACTATTGGGACAACTTTACAGGAAAGAATACGTTTAAGCAAACCTTGCTTGGTGCTACAGTCAGGTAACCACATAGAGATAAATACCAAGAAAAAAAAAATACGAAACTAAAAATTTTAATTCTAATGTCAAATCAGTACTATTGTATGGGGCGGAAACATGGAGAACAACTAAGGCAATTACCAATAAATTACAGACATTCATTAACTGGTGCCTGCGCAGAATAGAGGGAATTAAATGGTATGACAGAATAACTAATGTAGAGCTTTGGGAGAGAACTAAACAGGCTCCAGTGGACCAAGAGATGAGGAAAAGACGCTGGCGTTGGATAGGACACACACTGAGAAAACAGGAGAACAGCATAACTAGAATGTATTTGCACTGGAATCCACAGGGGCAGAGGAATAAAGAAAGGCCAAAAAAAAAAACACATGGAGAAGAGAGCTGGAGAATGAAGTTAGAAAGATAGGAAGGACATGGGGAGAGCTCTATGCAATGGCGAAGGATAGAACGACTTTGCGTGAGTTGGTTGAGGGCCTATGCTCAATTTGGGGATAGAAAGGCAGAAGAAGAAAGACCAAGATGATTTAAATGCCACATAAATAGGCAGGATATGAAAGCTAAACTGATCTCTGGGTCTTGTGATCGAGTGAGACTGTATACTTATCAACACTAAGAGTGTTGGAGAAATATTCCATCTAGATTTCATTGTAGAGACCGTATTCCTGACTGATTGATTTTTCAAGCTCCTGTTCTCGTCTGTTACTTAAGCTGTCATGGCTGAGTTTCTTGATTCACAGTTCAGACAATATACAAACTATGGCAGACACATTCATTCAGTCTGACAGATGTTCATAAATATTGATAGATATAGATATAGCCATATACGAAGCTCGACGCAAAGGTATCCAGAATATTGATTGTCAGCCAGTTATACAGTCTATCCAACAGCCACGTAACCACAGTCTGACATAAGCACAGAGTATCATAACCACAAACTGTCATAACTGTAAAGTGTAATATTCACAAAGTGTCACAACCACAAAATATGACAACCATAACTCGAGTGTCAGAGACGCAAAGTAACAACGACAAAGAGTCATAACCACACCCCAAAAAAAAAATTCGCAACCATAAACTACAATAAACAGAAAATATCACACCGATAAAGTGTCAAAATCATACAATATCACAACCATACATTGGTAAATTTACAGAATGTCACAACCACAACGTGTTATAACCACGCAGTGTCATAACTATGAAGTATTGTATCCACAAAGTGTCATAACTATAAAGTGTTATATCACAAAGTGTCAGAACAACATTGTCAAAACAACAACCTGTTATAACCACACAGTATCATAACTATAAAATGTCATAACTATAAAGTGGTATATCCACAAAGTGTCATAACTATAAAGTGTTATATCCACAAAGTGTCATAACTATATTGTGTTATATCCACAAAGTGTCATAACTATAAAGTGTTATATCCACAAAGTATCATAACTATAAAGTGTTATATCCACAACGTGTCATAACTATAAAGTGTTATGTCAACAAAGTGTCATAATTATGGAGTGTTATATCCACAAAGTGTTATAACTATAAAGTGTTATATCCACTAAGTGCTATAACCACATTGTCAAACAACAACCTGTCATAACCACAAAGTTTCACAGCCACAAAACATCACTACCATAAAATGTCACAACACCAAAGTGTGATTACCACAGCTCACCTGCTGGCGACGGTAATATTCAAACGCCATAATGGGGGCGTCCCGGGAGTTGCAGCCGCTGTTCCCCACGTTAATGCGTATCTTAACTCCTGCAGTATATCCAGCGTCCTTCACCTTTGACACCGCCAAGTTCACGGCCGGGAGCACCCGAGCCGAGGAGAACATTCTCGAATTATCGTAGGGAACAAGAACACAGATATCGACCACGTCATTAGTTCTGATGCTGTTTATTGGCAACACCGCGGTACTTATGCTTCTTGTGTGTTGTACGTAGATAATCCACATAAAAGCAGAAATGTATCCCAACATTGTTTATAGAGTGTGGCCTAACTGAACATTTGCCTGAAACCGTTTACAAACCATTAAGGAAGCGTTCACAAACCATAAGAAACTTTTAAACAGCCATAAAGAATGCGTTCACATAACATTAGGAAAGCCTTCACACCTTTCAAACCTTTTTAAAACCATTAGGAATGTGTTCACAAACCATTAAGAAAGCGTCCACAAACCATTAGAAAACGTTCATAAACCATTAGGAATTTGTTCACAAACCACCAAGAAAGCGATCACAAACCATTAGAAAAAGCTCATAAACGATAAGGCATGTGTTTACAAACTATTAGGAAAGCGATCACAAACTATTAGAACACGTTCATAAACCATTAGGAATGTGTTCACACACCATTAATAGGGCGTTCGCAAACCGTTAAAAAACGCTCATAAACGACTCACAAACTATTATGAAAGCGATCACAAACTATTAGAAAAGGTTAATAAACAATTAGGAATGTGTTCATAAAACATCAAGAAAAAACAAGAGGGTACCTGAATGTATTTTTCACGTACTCGCGCGCGCGCACACACACATACACACGCGCGCACTATGTGTGTGGCTGACTCACTAAGCATGTTGCGAAGGTTAAGACATGCATGTTGATTGCAGAGACAATAGCTAGGGAACATTAGGGGCAACAGAGACACTATGACAGGGTAATTCAGGTAAGTTCACCCAGGGACCAAAATATTTAAAATACCACTTGCTTAGTTTCTGCGGGTTGAAACCTCCCTCTAGTCGTCAGTTGAATAGCTGTTCATACGATTAAATAATCATCACATATTAATCGGCGCTCATAGAAAGACGTAGATGTCTTGTACTATAAATACTTCTTTCTGGGAGTGACATTCACTGCGTGTTAATGTGTTGTTGTTTTTTTTGTATGTGTGTGTGTGTGTGTGTGTTTTTTTTTTTTAAATATGCGTACACTGTGACATGCTTTGCTATGGACGTGGAGAGTAACGAAAATGATTTGAATCCTCTCTCATGCAAAGTATGCATAATGTTCAAAGACAATGCAGACGGGCTGGCTGGTACTCTATCAAAAAGTGAGTCATCGGTGATATGGCAGATGTACTCAAAGTCTCTTCGCGACAAGAGAGGAGAGAAGAGTACCGACAGGTCATCAGGGTTTAGACATAGTTATGCAACTAGAATGACCAGACGATATATTATTTATTCAATGGGCAAAGGAAAGTCAAAATAAATATATTTTAGGCACTGGGCAACAGCAAAACCATTATAGAAAGTTAAACACTCATAATGTCGGTAAAACAATTGATACACTAAAGAAAAAAACTTGTCAGCCAAACTACGCCTGGTACTGTAAGACCACATTGTCTCCAGTAACGTGCAATTTAGCGTTTATCAAATGTTATTACCTAACTCTATGAAAACGCAGTTTGAAAATGTCAATACCACCCACAAATAGACCATTCTCTTTAAAATTATTTCAATTTTCTGGTTATAAAGGACATAATTTAGCACTATGTGAGTAAGTAACAGGACTATTCTCAAACCCTTGACTGATGGCATCACTGAACCCATTTTGGGCCGGTCAACATATGAACTAAAATCGACAGTACAAATCTGTCTCTGAATCAGATACCCAAGTCCCCCGTGGGGGAAAACAAGAATAGACCCACTGCTTCCCCAAAAGCATGTCGTAAGAGTCGACTAATTGGGGAGCTTCCTTTGAAGTCGGAGTGCAAGGAACCAACAGTCTGTATTCAAGAGAATGAGATCTGTAAAACTGATGCACACGCAACACTCAGGTTCTGGAGCAGGACTGCAGTTCAGTAGTGGACGATCAACCAGAACTTTCCGCCAGAGTGTACAGCTGGTGAACACGAAGAAGAAGAAGAAGAGGAAGAAGATACCCAAGTCCTTTCGGGGCGACAGGCATCCCCTAGCTACTGCTTCATTTCTTTTTTGCAACGCCCCCAGGATGTCGGTTTGAAAATTGATTTATGACAGAAGAAATAACACTTGACAGTCAACTATACTCTTGTCGCTGTGAGCTCCCGTCTCTCCAATAACATGTAAATTAACTTTTCTGAAAAGATATTGTTTTGCACCAGGAAAACACCATTTAAAAAATGTTAAAACAGAATGTGTGTTAAAAAAACTGGTCTGTCTGAAATCAATTATTTGCGCACCGGATTTAAAGCTGAATTTACTTGAAGGTTAATACATCTCGGAAAAAGTTATAGGTCTGAAATTACAAGTAGGAAATAGTACAGAGGTTTTTTTTTTTTTTTTCTTTTAATATTTTCTCCGTGCAATGGAAATTACAGTGAGGAGGATTTAGATCAATTCTTTGAGGACCCGGATGATGAAATGTGTAAGATAGATAATAATGAGAAGCTGTTCGTGATGGGCGATTTTAATGGTAAGACAGGATGAGACAGAAGAACATTTGCAAGATACCTAGGCAGTTATGGAGACAACAACATTATACATGAACATGGTGGAAGACTGTTGGATATATGTGCACAACATGACCTTGTTATTACCAACACTTTCTTTCAACATAGAGCTTCCCAAGTTTTTACATGGTATAAATGGAATGATCCATATACTAAGAGTCAGATTGATTACATCTTGACGAGAAAAAGAGACTTTCATGTAGTTAACAGATTCGAGAGTTATACCAAACTTGAGTTTAAATACAGATCATAGGATGATGATACTTGACAGAAAAGTCAAGATAAGTTATCAAACAAGAAAGAAATGTAATAAATGTGACATGATAAAATGGAAAGAACTAGAGTGTGAGGAAAATAGGCGAGCATTTGTAATCAACTATTGTTGGCGGAATCTATCATCGCCTGGAGATCCCCTATATCCTTCCAAATAACTTACAGGGCTCGAATTAAATAAGTCTAGGGGAATTATAACGGTCCCTGAGTTCTGGAAAATAAAGGAAGGAGAATACAGAAAGTTAAAGAATAGGGTGAAGCCCCGAAAATGTCCTAAATAAATTCAGAAAAACAACCAAAGTCAAAACTTTGTAAATTTAACTCAAATAAATTGCAATGAACAATCTTTAGTCTACCTAAGAAGTAAATTTGATACGATGAAATCGATAAATGGAGTTTCTAAACCACAACTGTATTGATAAAATACTGATATTGAATTCAACAATTTTCAAATTAACATAGAGAAAATAAATCACGGTGTCATCATGTACACCACATAACTCTGAACAAACATCAAATGTCACTCAGCTTTCCGAGAGTATTGATGAGCTGAAATGTAGTTTCCTTTAGAGGAATGTCCACTGATAACCCGGCAATTCTGAATATGGTTCACGTTCTTCAAGCAACTAGGCAAACAGGCCAACCGGAATCCGGAATTACGGTCCTCTGGTAACACGGCAGGCAAGAATACGGTAACACGGGAGGCAAGAATACGGTAACACGGGAACCTGCGGAATACATCATTCAGCCCTGTGTTGAGCATTATGTCGATACATCTGGATCAGGTGGAGGTGTTGCGGTGTCTGTGGTGTTTTTCAGAGTTAAAAGCAAGAAAGAACAAGGTTCATATGTTGTCTTTCTCTACAAGTAAATCAAAATTATACATCTCCACCCTATTATAATATGTTGGTTTATACCTATCTAATTTATGGCACGATCATATAAAACTTGACATAATTAAGCGGACACACATTCGCCTGCGGATTGGACAATTATTAGTTCGAGTCCCAAAACCCAGGTCGACTTCGCCTTAACGGACACCAGGTATAGTAATGGGAACTAAAGGCGGCAGGTGTGATGTTGACCACATCAACCCCTAGGTACCACTTGGTCTATAAAACATAGGCCAACCCGATATGCCCACAAAGTTGACGACTTTTACTCAAATTATATGTTGCATAATATAATAAACATAAGCAATGTAATGTATACCCGACTGATGATACCCCATGGCACAGGATGATGGTTTATATTGTAAGATCTTTACACAAGTAGACCGAATGAATATTTTCTGGAAAGATGACAAAGGGAAGGAAGGTTCGCTATTGCATAGTCCTAACGGTGAATAGTAACTTTAAGAACGTCATAATAGGTAAGGACTAGTGAATTGTCCAACGGACAAGTATCAAGGTTGATGAAGTCACGGAATATTTATACAATGGTAGAATATAGAATAGTAGGATCTCAATAAAATATTTTAGGATACAGCTAAGGCTTATAGGGGATCTCAGCTACTCCCTACCATTATAAATCTCACCTGAAATCGTATATGGTATTATTATTATTGTTGGTGTTAGGCCGATGGTATGGCTGGCAAACGTTCTGTGTTGTCACGAAATTAGATCTCCTAGTAACACCACAAAACGTCATAAATTATGTGCGCCTTCGTACCTTTTTATTCTTTTAGCGTCTATGTTTAAATATATTTATTTTACGTGCGCAATTCTTTTAACTAAAACTTGCAATTAACTCTTGCCGGACCGAAATTATCCTCCGTTTTGTCACACATTATAGCAAAACTTACAGGAAAATTATGAACAGCTTCCACAAAACACACTTGGGGTAATACAGAATGGTTGAATTTTAGAGACACCACAATGAAAATAGCACAAGAAATATGTGAAACTAAAAGGAAAGGTAACATAGGACGTAAGCTCTCAACATAGTGGTCAGAAGAAATAAGAATTGTGAGCAATAAAAAGAAAGCCTATGGCATTTGGCTGAGAAGCAGAACAGATGAGGATTACATAACATACAGGATAGTTAGAAGAGAAGTAAATAGAACTATCGGACAAGCAAAAAGAGATTCACGGGAAAAGTTTGGAAGCAAGCTGGCTGAAGAAGAAAGAACAGCAGTGAAAAACTATTATAAAAAATCAAAGTCATGAGAAACAGGAATGAAGAATACAACCCAACAGAAATGATAAATTAAGAAGTTGGCCAACCTTTAATAGAACCTGACAAATCTA